CCCTGAAAGCAAGGGGAAAAGCAAATGAGAGCTACAAAGAGCAACTTGTGCAGTGAAGAAAGATGAAGACCCAGTGTGTGTACTACAGGGGATGACATCTGAACAGGAGTTATTACTACAGGAACTAGAGGACGAGGAAGAAGAGGTGGCTTCTTGATCCCAGTCTTTGCCTGAGCTGTTGAATACACTGAAAGATTTCTCACGTCTTCCAGGGGACCACATCATCTCCTGGCTTAAGACCAGCCAGTAACTCAGAACCATTCAGCCACTCACTCGCTCCCCCCATCTTCCTCCCTGCTCCTGGAGGGATGGAGAGGAGAATCCAAAGAATGTAAACCCCATGGGTTGAGATAAGAACAGTCCAGTAACTAAGATACAATATAAAACTACTACTGCTACCACCAATAATAATAATCATAAATTAGAATCATTGAATCACAGAATCCGAGACTGGTTTGGGTTCGAAGGGACCTTAAAACCTATCCACTTTCAACCCCTTGCCATGGGCAGGGATACCTTCCACTAGATCAGGTTGCTCCAAGTCCTGTCCAACCTCGCCTTAAACACTGCCAAGGATGGGGCAGCCACAGATTCTCTGGGCAACCTGTGCCAGCACCTCAGCACCCTCACAGGGAAGAACTTTTTTCTTAGATCTCATCTCAGTCTCCCCTCTGGCAGGTTAAAGCCATTCTCCCTTGTACTGTCAGAGCTCCTGATCCATGCAGTATTTACCCTGGTGCTGGAGCAGGCTGATCAAGGCTGTCTCCAGGGAGCTGTGACTCTCCAAGGAGGGAAGATTCTCCACCCCTCTGGATACTCGGCATTGCCCTGGTAGTCTCAGCCTGCTTTTAGCAGCTTCCACAGGAGAAACCATGAGGAAGCTGCTGACAGGAGGTTGTCATGGTTTAATCCCAGGCCATAAATCAGAACCACGCAGTCTACACCCCGCCTTTCTTCACACACACACACACACACCCTGCTCCTGGAGTGACGGGGAGGAGAACTGAAAGACTGTAACTAACTCCCACGGGTTGAGATAAGAACAGTCCAGTAACTAAGGTACAGTACATAAATACTATTCCTTAAAATTCCCATTACATGTCTCCCATAGTATAGAGGTGATGACCACACTGAGAACGCATGCCAGACCACATTCAAGATCAATGATTGTATTATATGACAAGTCATTACCATGAAGTATGAACAATGATCCTACCAAGAAAGCTGCTGCTCCAATCATTGGTGAGCAGCTTCCCAGATGGAGTGGAAGATCTGATTTTACTCCAACTCCTGTGTCGTGGTTTAAACACAGCCGGCAACCCAGAACCACACAGCCGCTTGCTCACTCCCCTCCTTCCTCCCCCTGCTCCTGAAGGGATGGGGAGGAGAATCGAAAGAATATAACTCCCATAGGTTGAGATAAGAACAGCCCAGTTACTAAGGTATAACACAAACCACTACTGCTACCACCAATAATAATAATGATAAGGGAAATAACAAAGGAAGAGAATACAAAAACTCACCACCTGCCAACAGATAATACCCAGCCCAACCCTGGCAGTGGATTAGCCCTTCTGGGTAACTCTCAGTTACATCCTGGGCACGATGTGCTGTGGTATGGAATACTTTGGTCAGTTTGGGTCAGGTGTCTTGTCTCTGCTTCCTCCTGGCTTCCTCTCCTCCCTGACAGAGCATGAGACTCAGAATGTCCTTGGTCAGACTAGACATTTGAGCAGTAACTAAAAGCATCGGTGTTATCAGCGCTGTTCCCAGGCCGAAAGTCAAAAACACAGCGCTGTACCAGCTACGAAGAAGGAGAAAAAATGACTGCTACTGTTGAACCCAGGACAAGATGTAAAACCCTAAGAGGAACCTGTTTTTGCAGTGGGACGGTCATTCCCAGGAGGGAGCAGCCAAGCTGTGGAGCCACTTCTGCTGCTTCTTCAGATCCCTGGCTCAATGGGCTGGATCCTTCTCATGGCTCCAGAGGCAGGCTGCAGGTCCTGGGGTGTACGAGTTGGCATAGGATTTCTGAAGGGGTAAGCAAGGAGGAGCAGGGTGAGGCTCCTCTCTTGGGAGAGAAACATCTTGGAAGGCAGGTGTCCTGGGTTCAGCAGTAGCAGTCATTTTTTTTCTCTTTCTTAGTAGCCGGTGCAGTGCTGTGGTTTTGATTTTCGGCCTGGGAACAGCGCTGATAATACTGATGTTTTCAGTTACTGCTCAAAAGTTTAGTCTGACCAAGGACTTTCTGAGCCTCGTGCTCTGCCAGGGAGGAGGGGAAGCCGGGAGGAAGCAGAGACAGGACACCTGACCCAAACTGACCAAAGAGGTATTCAATACCACAGCACATCATGCCCAGGATGTAACGCGGAGTTACCTGGAAGGGCTAGGGCACTGCGGGGTTGGACACTGCAGTTGGTGCTTGGTTGGGCTGGGTGGGGTGAGTTATTGGTTGGCGGGTGGTGAGGTGTTGTATTCTCTTCCCTTGTTATTTCCTTTATCATTATTATTATTGGTGGTAGCAGTAGTGATTTTTGTTATACCTTAGTTACTAAACTGTTCTTATCTCAACCCATGGGAGTTGCATTCTTTTGATTCTCCTCCCCATCCCTCCGGGAGCAGGGGGAGGGCAAGGGGGGGGGTGGGGTGCGAGAGAGACTGCGTGGCTGACAGGGTTTAAACCACGACAGCAGGAGACAGAACCAGGTGAAAGTCAATCAAGAAACCACAAGAAGATGACATTCCCTCTGGCAGCAAAAACAAGTTGTTTGACCATGCCCAAATGCAGCACCACTGTATGAGCGTGTCAAAAATTATCAGTCCCATCTTGTAGGAGGGAGTTAAAATCAGTGGGGTTTGGCCAGAGCAGTGCTGGTGGGACAAGAGGCTGAAGAGCCTCCCAGAGGGCTTGGGGCTTCGCAGCCTGGTCCCAGTGCTAGATGCTTACCCTGCTCATAAAACTTCTTGCTGTAGATGAAGGAATGACCTAAGACTGAGTAACAGGTTTCAGAGGTTAACTGACAATGACCCCAAACTCAAAATGGGTGCCCAAACCAGCAGGCAGTTCACCACATCATAGATGAAAGGATGGTTCCCCAAGATCCCTGCCCACTCTCCAGCTCCATCACAGGTTTCACCCCACCCCCCCTCCCCCAGCCCCAACCTTCTGCAGCAAGCTACCAGTCCTTAGCCACATTCCTTGGTAGTTTGCCAGGGTGGATGTGTTGGCTTTATGCAGATGCCTGGTGTGACATTCTCTTGGCTCCAGTGGCCCTCGGAGTATTACCATGTCATGAATAATGCAAGGAAGAGCTTCTCTGATTGAAGTTCTCATAAATCCATGGTTCTAGCCCAAGAGTTTGACAGGTGTTGGCTCTGACAATTGACAATTGTTGTGCTGACAATTAGTGACTGCCTCATTTGGTGTTCTCAGGAAACAAAGCTTAGAGGAAGTGACTAATAGAAGATGCAAAGCCCTGGGGGAAACCTGTACTTGCAGGGTGGTTGTCCATGTCTGAGCAGCTGTGGGCAAGGTGAGGACACCTGCTGCTGGACACCCATCTGTAGCAGCCGGGCTGATGAGGAGAGGCACATGCTTTTTAATTTGCTGGTGGCACCAAGCTGGGATGACCTTGAGAAACAGCCTAAAATAAGGGGATCATAGAATCATAGAATCACAGAATGGTTTGGGTTGGAAAGGACCTTAAGATCATCTACTTCCAACCCCCCTGACATGGGCAGGGACACCTCACACTAAGCCATGTCACCCAAGACTCCGTCCAGCCTGGTCTTGAACGCTGCCAGGGATGAAGCATTCACAACTTCCTTGTGCAACCTGTTCCAGGGCCTCACCACCCTCACAGTAAAGAACTTCTTGATATCTAACCTGAACTTCCCCTGTTTAAGTTTGAACCCATTCCCCCTTGTCCTATCACTACAGCTCCTAATGAAGAGGGGACAGGGACATGTGCAAAGTTTTACATATCGGGCAGAGGCTAAGCCACCTCCCAGGGACAGTGTGAGGATGTATGGCTGTGTAATTATCATCTCCAGATAGAAAATGGGAGGGGTTATAATGTTGAAAATGTACTAACTGATGACTATAGCATGCATCAGCAGGTGTAACTTTTGATACAGTATGACTTCCTAAGCATTTTAAACAGCCAACAAACCCAGGAGTGTTAAAATAAAGCCAGCTATTTTTAAAAGCATGGCAGGAGCATGAAATAGCTCCTCCACCTGAACTGTGTTGGGAATGATGCAACAGATGGGATGAAAAACAAACCCAGTGATGTCATGTTTGTGTCTTTCCCAGAGAATGAAGTGCCATCATCATTGCTGCAAGGAGATGTCATCCCTCCCTTGTCCCACTGCTTTCAGGTCATCTAGGGCTGAAGTGTGGAGTGTGTAGTTTAAGGATGGGGAAAGGGTGTGAGGAAGAAAGTTCACCAGCAGTTGCCAAGCAAGCTGAGGTGCTGTACTGCTGAATCATGGGATACGATGTGCTGGTGATGCTAAGGAGAGGAGCAGGAGGATATTGAAACATAAACCCCATGTTCCTCACAGACGCAGCTTGGGCGTGTTGTCCTCTCCGTAGTTTGGCACCTGCTGAGTATGTGATGTCCTTCTCAGAGGGGGCTTGGGATGCCCCATTTCTCCAGTGCTTTTGTTCCTTCCTCCAAACTCCTGGTTATCATTAAACAGGAGCATTTCCACCAGCACTGACATAGAGTTAAGCATTTTGTTGCTGGCTGTGGTGTGGTTCTGTCAGCTTCACTGAGACCCTTACATATACAAGGAAGAAGTTACACACACTGGTAGTTGATGCCTGATCTCAGCTGATGTCGTTAGTGGATTTATATACAATGTTTTCAAGTTCAGTGTTTGAGCCTTCTTGTTTTTTTACGGGGGGACATTTTACATAAGTGCTTCTCTATGTGTGGAATTACTCTAATAATTTGTTTCTGGATGCTCTCATATGATTTTTCTTTTAATCCATTTTAAGGTACAGCAATGCTGGGAAGAACTCTCAGTGGGAGGCATTATTCAGGTCTAGCTATAGTTCTTGATTTCTTTTTTGTCATGGTACTTGAATCTGAATGAGCACCCAGTTATAGGACAGCCCTTGGTGAAAGTCAGTTGAGCTTTCTATGAAGTTGTTTACTGTTTGTGCATGCTCAATTTCCATGAGGAGTTACTTTGATATCTTATTTTAAAACTGAATCTCAACTAAAGCCTTGTATTCTTTCCAGGTTAGATGTAGAGACTAAACTTCTTCCACCTGTCCCTCTAAAACATGTATTTCTCCATGTAATCCTCCTGATGGAAAACCAGACAGGGTTCCCTTCCTGCTGTTCATGCTGACTGGCTCCTTGGAGAGGTGGTGAATGAGTGAATGTATGCTTGGTGGTCGTAAGTCCTACAATTACATTTCAAGGCTAACAGCATCTCCATAGCCTTCTATGAAGGCTCAGGCACCATATTGATGGGCTCTGAGCCAAAGAGTGGAAATTTAAATCTGCCTGGCTAACTGCCACAGCACAGACAGACGGCTTCTTCATCTCCTAAGCCAGTCATATTGTTTTAATTGGCACATCAAGACTTGCTGAAGTGCAGCAAGTAAAAACAAAGCTATAGAATCCCAGACTGGTTTGTGTTGGAAGGGATCTTAAAGCTTATCCAGTTCCAACCCCCTGCCATGGGCAGGGACACCTTCTACTAGAGCAGGTTGCTCCAAGCGCCCTCCAGCCTGGCCTTAAACACTGCCAGGGATGGGGCAGCCACAGCTTCTCTGGGCAACCTGTGCCAGTGCCTCACCCCCCTCACAGGGAAGAGCTTCTGCTTAAGATCTCATCTCAGTCTCCTATATTTCAGTTTAAAACTATTTCCCCTTGTCTTGTTACATGCCCTTGTAAAAAGTTCCTCCCCAAAATTTGGTAATAACCAATTAAGCAGCTGTGCCTGGACAAGAGAACTTCCAGAGGTCTCTTCCTACCTCAGCCATTCTGTATCTCTGTGCTTCAGTGCTCAGCTGGGAGCAGTAAACAAGCTGTGCTTTATAAAAAGAGATACTGTTTGATTTCCAGGGCCATATGTTCTGACCATGACTCTGGGTTTACAGGCACTATTATCAGTAGCTTGTGATGAAAGCAGCAAAGCACTGTACATGCTCTGCAGTGAAGTGCGGTGAACATCCCAAACTCCTTTGTGGTACTTATTGGGTTTGTCTCATTCTTTTCCTAAAGTTCAAATGTGGAAATTGCCCTGGATGTGGTTGCTGCTGCTGCCCTGGTCAAATGTCTTGATAGGGAATTAACACCATTCTGTGATGGGCTGTGGGACAAGCAAAGTGCTTCCAGAGCCTCCCAGAGATGTGCAGCTAGACCTGGTGAAAAAAGTTGAACCTTACACAGGCCGCGATGACATATATAAACATTTCATCAAGGATCACTGTGAGATCAAAGCTCCTTCACCTCCAGAGCATGCTAACCCATACCCTGGGAACCACCTGCCTGCTCATTTGAACCAGCCTGAGCCCTTCAAGAACAAAGTGGCTAAATACTGTGCCAAGTTTGACACTAGAGTGACAGCCAAGTATGACATTAAAGCCTTGATCGGGAGAGGGAGTTTTAGCCATGTTGTACGGGTGGAACACAGGGCCACCAAGCAGCCCTATGCCATCAAGATGATAGAGACCAAATACCAGGAGGGGAGGGAGGTGTGTGAATCAGAGCTTAGTGTGCTGCGTCGGGTTCGCCACACCAACATCATCCAGCTGATTGAGGTGTTTGAGACCCAGGACTGTGTGTACATGGTGATGGAGTTGGCAACTGGAGGAGAACTGTTTGATCAAATCATTGCTAAGGGCTCCTTCACAGAGAGAGATGCTACATGAGTGCTGCAGATGGTGTTGGATGGTGTGAAGTATCTGCATACGCTGCGTATCACACACTGGGACTTAAAGCCAGAGAATCTGCTGTACTACCATCCAGGAACAGATTCCAAAATCATGATTACAGACTTTGGACTGGTGAGTCCTCAGAAGAAGGGAGATGACTGCCTGATGAAAACTACATGTGGGACCCCAGAGTACATTGCTCCTGAGATCCTGGTCAGGAAGCCGTACACTAACTCTGTAGACATGTGGGCGCTCGGTGTCATCTCCTACATTCTCCTCAGTGGCACTATGCCCTTTGAAGATGACAACCGCACCCGCTTGTATCGGCAGATCCTGAAAGGAAAATACAGTTACTCAGGCGAGGTGAGTGTGCCAGGGGTTATGGTGAGGGGAAGTCAAGCCAGAAGCTCTCTGTAGATGGGTCTTTGTAATGAGCAGAAGCTGGCTATTGTGTGCAGTGTGGTAACATCATCAGGGTTAAAACCCCCTGTGATTCTGGCTTTTAAAATACTTTCCTGTTTTCTCCCTGCTTTCCAAAACTGCTTTCAGAGCAGCATAGTGAGCTTCTCTTAAAAATGTGTGTGTAAAGAAAGGTCTCTTCCTGTAGAGCAGAACTGGCATGCTTGTGGGTTTCTAGCTGGGGAGACCTCAGCTGTGGTAAGCTGCTGCTTGATGCTTTCCTGTCAAAACTCATGCCAGGGTGAGTGTTTGCAGTGTGGTATGTACATACCTTGTCTGATTTCTGATACAAATCCAAGCGTAGTCTGAAAAACACCTTTGCTGAAATTATGGCAGACAAAGGGGCACTTGCTTCTATATCTGGAGACATGAGCATTTCTGAAATAGATCTGCATTGTCTCCTAAGTTGAGTATGTGACGAACTGGAGGATTGAAGAATAATCTTGGATAACTGTGGAAGGAGGAACCTTGGGAGATATTTATTTTTTATTTAGGCAGAAGATGGGTGCCCCTACCCTCCCAGAGTCCCATCACTCCACCACTGCCACAGCTCCTGCAAACTTGCTTCTAATCATGGTGGGAGATCTCAACTATCAGCCACTTTTTTTACCAGCACAGTTGCCAAGCGCAGGCATAATCTCACTAAGAATCACATCTATGGAAAGTGGGGGGCAACTAGATCTGCAAGTTATGTTTTTGCCTGTAACCCTCACTGGCAAAATTTAAAAATTAAGCTTTTATAAGCTCTAATAAGAGAGGAAAATGTTTAGATTCCTGAGCATCATGACTTTGTGAGGGGAAACCCATTAGGAAAGTGTTACTAAGTGGCTAAGTTTGTGATTCTGAAGTGACAGTAAGACAACCGTCAAAACCCCAGAATAAATTAATGATTGTTCTCATGTGTTTAGGTGTGAAAGCTATATTGGCATTTTAATGATGGAAGGGAGGACTAACATGTTAAGTTTTTAAACATATTAAGCTGCTTTAGGATTGTGCTTGTTTTGTGTTTTTTTTTCCCATTTATTTATTTATTTTGTGGTTTAAGCCCAGCCGGTAAATTGGAACCATGCAGCCACTCACTTCTGGAGGGATGGGGAGGAGAATCAAAAGAATGTAAATCCCACGGGTTGAGATAAGAACAGTCCAGTAACTAAAGTATAACACAAAACCACTAGTGCTATCACCAATAATAACAACAATAAGGGAAATAACAAGGGAAGAGAATACAACCACTCAACACCCACCGAACGATACCCAGCCCATCCTGAGCAGTGATCCAACCCTTCTGGGTAACCGCCTCCAGTTTCTATACTGGGCAGATGTGCTGTGGTATGGAATACCTCTTTGGCTCGTTTGGGTCAGGTGTCCTGTCTCTTCTTCCTCCCGGCTTCCCCTCCTCCCTGCAAAACATGAGACTCAGAAAGTCCTTGGTCAGAGTAAATATGACTGAGCAACAACTAAAAGCATCGGTGTTATCAGCACTGTTCCCAAGCTGAAAGTAAAAAACACAGCACTGCACCAGCTGCTAAGAAGGAGAAAAATGACTGCTAATGCTGAACCCAGGACAGTATTCACCCCTTATTCTATGCCATTCAGGTCATGCTCAGATCCCACATTTTTCAATATACCATCACTCTTGTCTCATATATATATATATGCATCCATTCACACAAAGAGAGAGATATCATTCCTTAGTGCACAGACCAATCTCTTTAAAGCTGATGAATTCATCCAGTCCATGATGTTGGTTTCCATCTCTTGTAACAGTCTTTCAGAGCAGGAGAGACTGTGTGCAGTGTTGGATTGTTGCCTGCTAATGACACCGTGGAACTCTGGTCACTGCTGAGCCAGTCTGGTTTTGTCACAGTTCATTCTTTGTTGGGGTGATGGCAGAGGGAAGTCAGGGCCAGTAGCTGGTGACCTGAAGACATCTTGCTGGTGGGCTATAAAAGTGCTCCATAGCAGGCAACAGCATATAATTGTATTCATTGGCTGTTTTTCCCTAAAATCAAATCCCCTTGAGGTACACATCTGACTTCCCCATCTTCCCACATTGCCCACCAAGTATATCCAGGTCCCTGAGCAAAAGCAATCCCCTGAGTAGTTTTGCCTTTATCTAAAGCAGGAATAACCCAGACTGTCTTCCCCAGGAAATTCTGTATGTGCACCACAGAAACTTTATCCCCTTCTACAGTATGTAAAAGTTCTGATTGGGCTGGGGCAGCCCTGTTGGCAGATCCTCTGGTGTTGACCAACCAGGTGGCTTTTGGTAAATGCGTATCCCAATGTTTGAAAGTCCCACCAGCCCTTGCTCTCAGTGTAGTTTTTGACAGCCCATTGTACCGTTTGATTTTTGCCAGAGGCTGGTTCATGGTAGGGAACTACTCAATTCTCTCTGGGGGCCTGTGAGAAACACAATTTGTTTCTCAAGGCCCAGGATAGTATTCTGGGCAGTGGCATGGGGCACAGCCTGTGTTTCTAGCCATCCAGTGGCTGCTTCCAGCATGGTAAGCACATGGTGATGCAAAAGGGTTAACTGATGTATGAGGGGGTTAGTGTTAAGCCGCTTGCTTAACATTGTTACTGTTTACTTGTGCTTACTCAGCAAATGCTTGCTCAACACTTATCGTGCTTGCCAGAACAGAGTGGGAGGACCAAGGCTATTGATAAGAGGAAGGAACAGTAACTCCTGTTCTCTGGACCCCTAAACCGGCTGAAATCAGCTTTGCGGTTTGGACAGTGACTAAATCACCAGGGAACATGCGCAACAACTATAGATGAAAAGTCCAGGGAAGACTCTTTTACTTCATATTGAGACCCTCGCCCATGACCACCAGGAGACCCTACGTAAGCAAAGACGTTTTACCTCATTATAATATGAAGCGGGATAGGTCTTGAGTACATATAGGCATGTTGTGTAACCTCATGAATATGTAATAGTTTAGAGGATAAATATGAAGGAGAACAACGCTGAGGTGCGCATGCCTTTGGAGGAGCTATCCCCCATGCGCCTCAGCACTGAATAAAAGCATACCTACTTTACAACTTTAATGAGTTGTCGAGTCTCCCCGTGCATCAATTTAGCGAGCCAGCCGGGAGACCTCTGTTCGGCTGCAGGATCAGTTGAGGGGTGGACATCCTAGGTGCCCCAGGCCACTTGCCTGGAGGAGCTCTGCTTCTCGTCCGCTCACTGTGGGGACAGACAACAACCTGTGCTGGCTGTGGAAAACAGTATGCTTGGAATTTAAGTTTGTAATTTAGGGGGCGTATAAGTCATACGCATGGCCCGGGGCTGCTGGTAAGGTTCAAAGAGACATCTGGCTCACAGCATAGTTCCCCTTGGCAGGTAGGGCTTGCAAGCAGTAGGTTGGGGACTTGCCAACCCATAGAGAGGCCGCTAGCGATCCTGAGGGTGGATCGGGTGAGTCCAAGGACTTGTCAGCTGATAGAGCAGCTGTGAACCAGGCGAGTCCAGGGTTGGGGACTCGTCGAGCAATAGAGCGGCTGCTAGCGATCCTGGGGGTGGATAGAGTGAGTCCAAGGACTCATCAGCCGATAGAGAGGTCGTGGACCAGGCGAGTCCTGTGTCTCTGCTGCATCCCAGGTTTTGGGAGCCAGGACGGACCTGCTAATGACTGTGTAGGAAGCAGGAGAAGGGTAAGCAGAACCACTTTGTGGAGTGTGTCTGTGGGATCCTGTGTGGGTGTGAAAGTGTTTTGTGTGGCTGAGACGTGGCATAGCTACGAAGTGTATCTGTCTTGTGTTGTGTCTATTTGTTCTTGTGTATATGTCTGTTGTTAGTGTTAACGATTACAGTGTTAAAGCGGTGGGGGAGGAGTAGACAAAACTAAACTATGGCTAATAAGGGGGTTAAGAAGAATTCCCTCTCTCCGCCCCAGTGGCTATATAAGAGAAGTATAACCTCTAATATTTGTGATCCTATTCTTCAGACCTGGACTTTACACTCAGAATTATCGCCTCACATATGGGTGCATAATAACTTTTGAACAGTGGAACCTGCCGTGGATACTAGGACAGTGTAAATTTTGCTGGAACCAAAACTATGATCTAACAACAGGGGAGTTGTTCTGCAGAACCCAGAGATATTGTTTTACTGAACCCCCTGAAAATATCATAAATCTTGTGTGTAGATGCTCTCATATTATTTTTGTAATTGCATCCAAGGAGCACTGAGAGAGAAAGGCTAGAGATTTGTAAAAGACTGTTTGATTCATTAGGGACTGTAGTGACAGGACAAGGGATAATGGGTTAAAACTTAAACAGGGGAAGTTTAGATTGGATAAAGAGGAAGTTCTTTCCTGTTAGGGTGGTGAGGCACTGGAATGGATTGCCCAGGGAAGTTGTGAATGCTCCATCCCTGGCAGTGTTCAAGGCCAGGTTGGACGAAGACTTGGGTGAGATGGTTTAGTGTGAGGTGTCCCTGCCCATGGCAGGGGTGTTGGAACTTGATGATCTTAAGGTCCTTTCCAACCCTAACTATTCTATGATTCTATGAAATGGGAACTGGTCAAGGCAAGGAAATTCTGAAGAAAAGCCCATTGGGTTGCATTTTGTCACATTAGAAAGAACTGGGAGGGTCTCCTGGGGGATTGGTAAACAAGAAAATATTGGTAAAATATTGTAACCAATGGTGGCATTTATGTACTTCGGAAGATCAGGAAAAATGGCCTAAAAATGGAAGTCTAAACTATAATACATTGTTACAACTAATGTATGCAGATATGTTTTTCACTTTAAGAAACCACCCGGAGTGACTGACGGAATGCAAAATTAATATAGCTCTGCCAGATCCCTTAATTTTGGCTTTGGAAAAGGACAGGGAAAAACTGAAAGTTAAGATGGATAGATGTGGTTCAGGTTGTGATATTGGGGAATGATGTTTA